ACAGAAGTGGTTTTGCTGAGTCAGAAGGTTATGAACATTTGTAATTTTAATAGATACTGCAAATTACCTTTCTAAAGAGTTGTACCAATGTATTTTCCCTCTAATAGTATAGTAAAGGCCTTTTTAGCCATACTATTTCTATCACTGGATATTATCTATCTTATTACTTCTTGCCAATATGATGGTTTTTACTTGCTTTTTCTTCATAATTAGTGAGGCCAAGGATCTATTTACATGTTAATCAGCTATTTGAAGAACCATAAATTGTCTTTTCATGTCCTTTTTATATGCTTTGCCATTTTATTTGTTAATATCTATAGGCTAGTTTGTCTTTTGCTAATTGATTTGTAGGAAGTACTGGTTTACTAGTGTTAGTTCTCATTTTATGTGCTACAAACATTTGTCTTTCTTAAAGCTCCCTCCTCCCCAATCTCTCACCAGTTCTGCCTTTTAATTTGATTTAAGATGCCTTTTGCCATTTGTATGTGTGATATGATATGTATATTTTGCTTTTCATCCATGGTTCCTGGCTTCTTCTAACCTTCCCATGCCCTTCTGTTGGGGCTAGCCATAAAGAAATTATCTGACCTTGTCTGACTGTAGGTCATAAGATTCCCATTGCAGAAGGGGTCTTGCCCCATGCCTGGGAGGAAGGAATGCTGCACAGAGACCAAGAAGAATCTGAACAGACAGTCCTTGCTGGGTTTCCCTACCAAGAGAAGATCATACATTTTTTGTCCAATCACATTTCTGCATGGTTATCCATGTTTCAATCATGCCTATGTAATGAAGTTTCCATAAAACTCAATAGCACAGGGTTCAGAGAGCTTCTGGACACACGTGGAGGTTCCTAGGGGGTGGTGCACTCAAGGAAGGCATGTAAACTCTGCACCCCTTCCCCAGTACCTTGCCCTATGCATCTCTTCATTTGTATCCTTTGTAATATCCTTTATGATAAACCTGAAAATGTAAGTAAGTGCTTCCCTGGTTCTGTGAGCTGCTCAGCAGATCAATTGAACCCCAAAGGGAGTAGGGATTATGGGAACCCCAACTTATAGCGAGTCGGTCAGAAGCACAAGTAAAATAATCTGGGGTTTGAGTCTGGCATCTGAAGTGGGGAGCATTCTTGGGGACTAAGCATTTAACTTGTGGGACCTCGTGTTATCTCCAGGTAGACAGTGTTGGAACTGAATTAGAGGACACCCAGCTGGTGTCCACTGGAGAACTGCTTGCTTAGCATAGGAGAAGAAACCCCCACACATCTGGTGTCAGGAGCATGTTGTGGGAGTATACAGGGAAAAACTGAACAGTTTGTGTGTTTTTTTCGCACTCACTACGTTTTTATATAATCAAATCTGTCAGTCTTTTTCTTTAAGTCTGCTAGATTTTAGGTATTTTCTTTCTTTTTTTGTTTTTTGTTTTTTGTTTTTTGTTTTTTGTTTTTTGTTTTTTGTTTTTTGTTTTTTGTTTTTTGTTTTTTGTTTTTTGTTTTTTGTTTTTTGTTTTTTGTTTTTTGTTTTTTGTTTTTTGTTTTTTGTTTTTTGTTTTTTGTTTTTTGTTTTTTGTTTTTTGTTTTTTGTTTTTTGTTTTTTGTTTTTTGTTTTTTGTTTTTTGTTTTTTGTTTTTTGTTTTTTGTTTTTTGTTTTTTGTTTTTTTTTTTTTGTTTTTTGTTTTTTGTTTTTTGTTTTTGATAGCTGGCCAGTACAGGGATCAAACCCTGGACCTCGGTGTTATTAGCACCATGATCTAATCAACTGAGCTAACTGGACAGCCCTTACGTCTTTCTTGAGAAGTTGTTTCCCCACTCTAAGATTTTAACCACATCCTTCTATATTTTCTTTTAAATCTTTAATATTTTCCTTTTTTACATATAAAACTGTAATCTATACAGAATTTATTTTTGAATATGGTGAGAGATAAGACTACAACTTAATTTCCATACAAACAGATAGTTAATTGTTTTAGTACCATTTAGTAGAAGAATCATCTTTTCTCCACTGACTTGAAATGCCATATTTATCATGTACCAATATCGTATAAATATTTTCATCTGTTTCTGTACTCTCTATTTTAATTAGCAATTTACCTACACTCTTCTCTCTTCTAGATTACAAAAGTTACATGGACTTGAGGAAATTCAAGGTTATAATTCCAATAAAAGGTCCTTATCTTCATCAATCAAGGCAAGAGTCAGTGAATGGGCAAACATTTATTCAGGGATTATCATATGTTTTGCATCTATCTCTGTTTCCAGCTTTGCTATGCCCTCTTCAACAGTGGCACAGTGTTTGGAACATGGCAGAACAAACACTAAGTAAATATTTGCTGAAAGACTTAATGTATAATAATAAGTTCAGTTTACTCAGATAAAAGTATGTAAATTAAAAGCCATACTCTAATCAATGTCAAGTTTCATCTTATTAACAATAAATCCTAGAAAGGGCAAATGATAGTTTACATTACTGAACAAACGCAACAACTTCACTGAAGCTATTACAATAGCAAATCTTTCAAAAAAATGTTGCAGTGTATTTGACAGGTACCTCAGAGTGATGACTAGTCCCCTCTCCCACTCTCCAAGACAGCTATTACATACCTTTTACTCTCTCCTCAAATCTACAAAATCCCTGCCCATCAGAAGAAAACCTTCGCATCTTCCCACCACACTATCATGCACCTGCCTTCCCTCCTTTAAAATGAATGCTCTTGGGGCCGGCCCGGTGGCGCACTGGATAGTGCGCCGCTTGGGAAGCGCGGCAGCGCTCCCGTCCAAGGGTTCGGATCCCACGTGCAGACCGGCTCCCGCTCGCTGGCTGAGCGAGGCGCAGGAGCAACGCCGAGGCTTGCGATCCCGTCGCCGGTCCCCGGTCCGGTACGGGGGCAACACTGAGGGTTGCGATCCGTTGCCGGACACGGAAAAAGGTCAAAAAAAAAAAAAAAAAAAAAAAAAATGAATGCTCTTGGTTAGGACAAAGTCTCCCAGCTCGCATACTCAAGAACTTTTGATCACCTCTCTTTTCTGTGCCACTCCTCTCTTCTACATCATTCTCAGCAGCACACAAACTGTAAATGTCTTCAACTCAAAAACAAAAAACCTTCTCATTAGCCCGCATCCCTCTCCAGCAACCACCATATTTACTTTCCTTCTATGGCAAAATTCCTTGACAAAGTGCTTGTGCTGGCTGTGGTGTTTTCCTCTCCACTCTTGAACCAATCAAGTTTTACTCCCCACCACTCCTCTGAATTTCTTATGATTGGGGTCACCACTAACCTCCATGTTGTCAAAAACAACAGTCAGTTCTTAGTGCTCATCTTACAACCCTATCAGCAACATATGTCAAAGTTGATTACTCTGTCCCTAATTTATTTACTTGGCTTCGAGGATACTCATTTCTCATGTTTTTTTCACACCTCACTGGCTGCTCAGTCCCCTGTAGGAATGCTGGTCACAATTCACTCCATCCTCATGGCCTTCGGGGCTCTGGCTTCAACAGTTCCAATTTTTCCCCTGCTCAAGTCACTTAGCAACTGAGGAAGGGACAGGAGCAGAACACTATACTTGTAAGGTAAGGGGAGTGACACAGGCAAACCCAAAGATAAGCGACAGGAGGTTGTGGAGCACCTGGGAATCTTGGATTTCTGCAGTCTTTCTCTGTTTAGCATAGCTCCACTTTTGTCTCTAAGTTCTTCATGAGCCTCAACTCCCCCCTTCCCACACGTGGAGAAAGCAGCTGCAAGCACTCAGATGGGTTGACACTCCACTGGATCTCTGTAAGTAACCACCCTTAAAATAATAATAATAATAATAAAATCCTTGTAAACCATATGGAGTTGCCTGCTTCTTTCTTTGGTCTTAGGACACCTTTCACTCTGGTGAGCATTATACTCTTAACTCACACTTGCATAGTCCCCTTTGATGAGTCCTCCCCATCTCTCTAATTTCTACTTGTAAGAGTGGCCCAGGGCTCAATCCTTGAAACTCTAGGTGATCTCATCTAGTCTCACAGCTTTAAATATCTTGGAGACTCCTAAATTTTTTTATCTTCATACACAAGCTCAGCCCTGAATTAAAAATCCATTTATGCAACTATACACTCAACATCTTCACTTGGATGTCTAATCAATATATCAACTTTAGCATGTCCAAAATTAAAATAAAACAACAGCAACACTAAAAACCTCCTCTTTCTCCAGCATCTATCCATTCAGTTACCATTGTAGCTAAGTACCCATTAGCTCTTGCCTCAATTACTCTAAAAACCATCTAGCTGGTCTCTACTTCTATTCTGCCACATTCCCTCTCCCCCAATTCTATTCTCCACAAGTAGCTCTCATGATCCCCTTAAATTATAAACCAGACTATGTAAGTCTTCTACTGAAAATTTTCCAGTGGCTTCCCATCAGCTAGAATAAAACCCAGTCTTTCCACAGCCTATAAAGCTGTGATCTGAGCCCGGCCTATCTGTCCAACCTGATCTCTTACCACTACCATATTACTCATTCTTTTCCAGCAAAATCAAACTATCCTATAAATAAATAAATAAAATGGTGCCTTGCTATGCCTTATATACACATCAAGCTAATTTCTACCTCAGGATCTCTGTATTTGCTCTTCTGTCTGATACATTGTATCTGCAGGTATCTGTACTGCATGATTCTCATTTCATTTAAGTCTCTGTCAAATGTTACCTTCTTTTTTTTATCCTGCTTTATTTTTCTTCATGGTTCTCAATACTATCTTAATTCTATTACATATTTGTTTATTATTAAACACACTAACTAGAATAGAAGCTCTATTAGAGCATGGATTTTTTTTTAATTCACTTTTTTATCCTCAGAACCTAGGACAGTGCCTGACATATAGTAGGTGCTCAATAAATATCTGTTGAAGAAATTAGTAAATAAATGAGCATGCATAAAGTTTGACTATTAATCTGGCTTACTGATCTTGGTTAAATATATAATCTGAAAAAGCAAAACTGTTCTTGAGAATTACTCACTTTTCGTTGTTTTACAGAGTCCAATTTTATGAGCCAAAATGAAGCCACTTTTGTTTTATGGTGCTTCCAGTTATCAATGATCTGTTTTACAGGAGAAACATTAAGAAATTTAATCTAGTATTCATTAAAAGTAATAAATAAAAAGTAAATAAGTGGGTGAAAATCAATTTTATTAATTAATTTGTGCAATGGAAGCACTATATTACCTGTAATAAAGAATACCAACTTTTGTAAAACAGTATGTGCAAAGATTTCTAACATAAGGTAAAGAAACCATCTGAATCCAAAGCTTTCTCTTTTTGTTGAACCAAAAACACAATCTCTAATGAGTGAAAGTCAAATGTCTTCAGGCACATAAAGTTTTGGGAAGAAATCCAAGACTTTGATTTTCCATTTTTATTCCAAGGGCTGTATTTACCACAACACCCACAATAATAGAATATTGAATAATACTATATAATAATACAGAGTAAGGGAAAATACTATCCCTTTGTTTTGTTTTGTGCAAATCCGCAAAATTTCTCAATATATCTTCTAGTAATATATGCTATAGCAAACAGATTAAAATATTTACTGCATACAGTGAACATATAGTAAGCAATCTGATATCTGAAATAATTATTAATTATATGAGCCTATATGCATTCTTTATAGAACAATCACATTAGCCACAAATATTAATTCTACTCTCTGATTATCCTTCTTCTCCAGATTCAAAAAGGTAGTATACAACTAACATTTCCAAGAAATATATAAAATAATAAATGTCTGGTGCAAAGTCATTGGCTTTACTTAGAAAATAATGTTATTGAATACAATAACATGTAAGTAAAAACACATCTAGCATGATGCTTTACAACCAATGTTATTTTTCTTCCCTTTCTTTTGCTGACGTGCAAACAAGATACCATTTTCACTTTTTAAAAAATATATAACAAAAAAAAGCATGCTATTTGGGGATTATGCCTGTGTCATGATTACAAAATATAAATTGCCAATATGGAGTTTTTAAACCAAGAGAATCTTTTTTATTACACTTGCTTTAGACAGGTCTAAAGAAATGCTAATAGATTTAAAAGGCCTAGTGCATGGCTGTGGTTTTATCCTACAGTTGGCCACTAGATGGTGCCTTCTCCTCTGGAAAAACAAAATACAAGGCCCCAGAAAAAACACTCTATTACTGAGGAATTACCTAAAAATGACCATTTGAAAAGTATGTTTCAATGACGAAGTGGAATCTTGCAGTAAGAAATTTTCTTTCACCAAAAATAACTGAATATCATGGACCTTTTTTTCTGAATTAGGACTTAGTCATTGATTTTAATGTGAAATTTAGGACTGCCATTTTAGAGTATTCCACTGGGTGGTGCAAATGTGTGTATAACAAGAAAAACACACAAAACTCAACATAAGTCATTTCAAAATTTGACCCATAAAATGTGACATTCATGGTGTCACATTTTCTTGACATTTTATGTTAGAACCCTACTTTTTTTTATCACATCCCATTCCATATTCTTTTTAAATCTTCATAGAAGCAGCTTTAACCTGATATTTCTTTAATCTTTAAAAACAATAATTATTTAACACTAATTGCTCTCACTTGATGAAGCAGTCTTATCATTAAAATAGGACTATATACTAAAAGATATTTTGTATTGCTGATTATAAATGTAATCTTACTGTTCACGAATCATAATAATTAAAATAAACCCCTGTATTATCTAAAGCTTGTGGTTGAAAAACCATCAGTTAAGTTTATGTCATTGAGTATAGTGCCATCAGGAAATAAATTTTAATATTTTAAGAAGAGGAATAAAAAAAGACTGAGCCCCTTGGCATTTTGTATGTATCAAATACTCACATCTTCGATCAGAAGTTCTGATTCTGCATCTGATTTTCCTGGAAACCGGATCTTCATATCCTTGAGAACAAATAAGGTCTGACTTGTCAGATCATCTTCTTGTTCTTTTGTTTTCAGTTGCCGCAAAGACTCACTCTTAAATTTGAAAGAATACAGATATTTGGAGGGGGTCTTATTTCATTGTGCCAGTATAATCTGGAAGATATTTCTAGGTAAAAATGATGCACTTTTAATTGAAAAAAAAAAGAAAACAAAAAACCAATGAAAGAGGAAAAAAAAAATTTTTTACACTTATGAATTATTTGAATTAAATGGATATGAAGAATCCCAAGACTGTCTTTCATGCTTCCACACATTTGTATTTTATTTAGTTCAAAACACTAAAATAAAAATAGGAGTGTTTACCTTCCTGGTTAGTTGCATTTGCCACATATACCTTAGGCAATTCTTGATTAGAGAAAAAAATCACTCATTGTTACCAAGTGAAGTTCATTCACTTATATTTCCTAACTCTTCCCTTTGGAAACAACATCCATATTAAATAAACTAACTAAATAAATCACTGGCCTATGTGAAGATACCTGGAGCTATCTATTTTAATATCTAAAAGTAAGCTGCTTGCAAAATAAATTCAAAGACTTCCTCAATACTGAATCTCTGGGATTCATGCCAAGGAGGGAATACTATAAATTGATTTAACATACAGAAAACATTATAAACAATGTTACACTTAAGTGCTCCAAGGAGAATCTATCAATTTTTAAAACCTATTAATCGATTGTCCCATTAAGTAAAATTTTCTATACAACAAATATCCTGGGATTTACAGATAGTCTGCACAATACACTGCAACAAAACCATACATTTACTCAGGTGATTTTCAACAATATTACCCTACTTTATCAACAAATAGAAAATAAAATAATACTATTCCCAGTGTCCATCCTCAGGTTTTGTGATATAGTGAAGTCTGCCTTTAAGAGTCCATACTAAATTGTAGCTTAAGATATATGAAGAATCCAGATTCCAGGAGGCCACAAGTTGAACTACTGAAAGGGTCTGAGGTTCATCTGTTCTCCTCTCAGATGATCCCCTCTCCCACCTAGATTCTGAGGACGGTGCTTCCTGTAATCTTGAAGAGCAAAATAGATGACTTACCACCTGAGAGCTGACAGAGCTGGCATCATCACTGTGAGGCAGGTGCCTCATGTAGGAGGAAGCACGATTTAAGGAATGTGACCGAGATGCTGAAGATGGCCGTGATACTGATATCATGTGTTGAGCAGAAAAGGGGCGGCTGTCCCCACTGGAAGGTGATTGAGCAGAGATGGACCGAGGGCAGCTGACTGAGCGCCTTATGGAGGCTATGGATGATGAAAAAGAGGGATAGTGTAGTAGCAGTGTTAGATGAAGTTTCCCACTGTATTGGGTCTTATATAAACTAAATATAAGGTGGTAGCAGAGTGGCAATAAATGTCAAAGCATAGGCATCATCATGAAAATGAGTTTGGAGTTAATTCTTCAATTTAAAACATGAACTTGGTGCAGAAACCCTATGATCTATGAAGAATGGCTACTGTGGAAATAATGCTATAATTACTATAGAAATACTATAAATAGTTCTTTAATGTCATATTCTTGAAACATGACATAAAAGAACCAGAAAAAAAGGGAAATTAACATTTATGGAGCACCTTCCATAAGCCAGGCATCACGTTAGGTGTTACACTTTTATCTGAATCCACACAGAAAATCTCTGACACAGGGATCTCTATTGCCCAGAGGCTCGGAATAAGAACTTTCTCAAGGTCACACATTGAGAAATTGGCCAAGCTCAGGTCTAAATCCTGACCTAATTTTAATGTCCTCCCTCTTTTTATAATACCATGAAGCCATCTACTATCCTTGAGATTAAACTGCTCACTTATTAAAATCTGTGTGTAGGTTAGAGATTGAATATTTTACAGCAAGATTCATCGGGAGGGCTGGAAAGAAGACGAGAGAGTGGCTAGAATAAATAGATAAGTTATAGAATATAGGACCCATGAGAAAAAATTAATAAAACAGAAGAAAAATATAAAGATTATCCTAACGGAATGTAAATATATAATTGGTTATTATAAAAGTAGTACTAAACAGATAATCTTATCCACAGGCAGGATTAAAAAAAAACTAGATTAAATTCCAATAGTAAAAGATTTAAGTGACAAAAAGTATATATCTATAGGGTTGTTATTAGAACAGATATCTAGGAAAAACCATAGACCATCTTCCCCAATGCATATTGAGAACATTTAAGAAAGAGAACCAACTGTTCCTGATAAATTTGATTCCTGACAGAGCGAAATAGATTATCACTCAATACTATCAACATTTTTGTCTTTTTTTTTTTAGCTCATATGTTCTATATACCCTCTGTTCTATATTCTCTCTCTGCTTGGGGTATATATTAATCGTCATTAATTAAATAATTTAATAAATTTACATGAAATCAGGTTGGATACTCAAATATTTATTTTCATTAGCTGTTGAAAAAAATGTAAACCTTTATAAAGGCAATGGACATTATCTTTACATTTAAGCATGTATTTCTAAAGGGTATTTTGCATAGATGATAAGCCTAAAACTCATTTAGGTTCTGGAGAGTATTACAAAATATATAAGCTATGAAAGATGTTTTTTAAAAATTCTGTTTGTTCCAACTATTAACTTCCTTTAGAACCTGAAAATAATATCACTTTTTGAAAGTACACTGCTGGGCCGGCCCAGTGGTGCACTGGAGAGTGTGCCGCTTGGGAGTGCGGCGACGCTCCCGCCGAGGGTTCAGATCCCATGTGGAGACCAGTTCCTGCACTGGTTGAGCGTGGTGCGGGCGCAACACCGAGGGTTGCGATCCCATTGCCGGTCCCCAGTACGGGCGCGACACCGAGGGTTGCGATCCCGTTACCGGTCAGTAAAAAAGACAAAAAAGGAAAAAAAAAAAAAAAGAAAGTACACTGCTTCTGGAGAAAGTCTATGTGAGGAACACACCACTGTTCATTCTCTTTTTCTATTAAAAAATACCCCAAAGCATGTGCTACTAACTACAATACAGTCCTGCTCCCCCTGAGGGTTTAAGGTGATGATCTGGATGTGTATAACCTAATCATAGGGCAAAAGAAAAATAACCTTTTTCTTGAATCATCACAGATTTCCACTTTTGGCTTACATACACTGGAAATTCAGACAGAATAACTAAACATGCCAATGATATTTGCTAGATTAACAAAAAATGGTTGTAACTTGCACCCACAAATTATGTAAGAAAAGTATTTCACGCAGTTTTTTCTATGACTACCTTATATCAAACCAAAATATATCCCTTTGAAGCTATAACAAGTTTAAATTTCCCAAGTTAACTATTTATAAGAGAAGGTGTTACACATAGTCTGGATTTTGTCCTCAGTCATCGGCATCACTTTGAAGACAAAACTCAAGGAGAATTTGTGGTATGATGTTCCTTAGTGTAAGATTAAGGAGAGACTATAAAACAAAGTGAAACCCTTGTTATAACTCCTAATGGGTATAAAAAGAAAATAAAACCAACAAGGCAAAAGATATGTAATTAAATTAGGCTAGCTTTAAAATGAGAATTCATCTGTATCATATTTTAGTACACTATTGTTCGATCTCAAAGCTATAAGAACTCCAGCAATTTTTTCTCTGCCCTGTCCCTATCCCCCATCATTTCATGCTGTTAGGTATGGACACATTATCTGATTGGAGAGGGGTTAAAAAACCGACAGAATTTGAGCAGGGAATTGTCAGCTTTCAAAACAGAAACAGAGCCATACATTCAGCTGGAGGCACACTGAAAGTACTTAAGGAATCCATAAGGAAAAAAGGAAGCATTTGATAAAACAGCCTACAAACTCTGGAACAGGTGCTCAATAAACATTTCCTAAATGAGTTGTAAATAAATAAATGAAATGGAACATAATACGTTATTTCTTCTCCAAATATATAAACCCTCAAAGACAGGAAAAGTAGTAGCATGTATCTTTATGGAATAATTTGGAAGCAAAGGAAAAACCATTGCTCTAAAATCTTCATCTATTGGTTCTGCATTCCTCACATATTTTGCCAAAAGCATGGAAGAACAGTTTTAAAATATACACATCAGGGAAGCTAACATATTAAACCATTGCTGGGGATCAACAAAGGTTCACAACTGTGTTTATTGCATTATTGAACTGGTCCCTTTAGTAGAACACTAAGACAGTGGAACACAAGGCAGAAAGAGATATGACAGACAGGAGTTGAGCAAAGTCCAGGATTGGAGGCAGCATCAGAAAGGGGTTTTCAGGCGAACAGCAATACCACACAGGACATTTGGAGATGAAAGAAGAATCACAGACACAATATCCGACATTTGGGATTGAAGAGTGAATAAAAGACAGGAGAAAGGAAGAGAGAGAATGTGAAAAGAAACAAAGGTAGAAAGAAGGGAAAGGAAGCAGGAAAGGAAGGAGATGGAGAAGGTGGTTGGCTGTTCTCCTAAATACTTCCTCTGCACCAAAAGCCCCGACTTAAGCGCTTACTTAAGTACTGAAAGTACTTAAGGAATCCATAAGGAAAAAAGGATGATGAAAATGGGAGGGGACAAAACTTCAACTATTTCACAATGGTATGGCTCACAGATACATTCAAGTCAAATGCCTAAAGTGGTACACACATTTTTAAAAATAGTCAATAGTATAAAATGAAGTGGGTGACAGAGAGGCAAAGAGGGGGGAATGGAATGAGAAAATATACAGGCTTGAAAGAGAATGTAATCAGCAGGTCAGCCATGAAGCACACTTTATAAAACCCATGAAAAAATACAGCACTTAAAAAAAACTCTGAAATATAGAAGAATGAATCCTTGTTTACTATTTGCAGAACCTGGAAGGGATTGAGAGATGTGCCCAGGCCTGGTTAGGGAAGAAAGTGGTATAGAATCCAGGTCTCCTTACATACAATGAGGGTTCATTTCACCCAAGGATCTTCTATTGAATTCAATAGTTTTAGTTCCATAACTCTTCATATAACAACTAAATTAGGAGAAATTGACTTACTGGATTGTTGAATTAATTTGTAGTGGTTGGAGTGTTTCAGATTATATGTAACTTGCTTTTCTCTTTTCTTATTTTGATACTCTTTTTCATTTTCATCAGATTCTGAAGAGCTGCTGTTACTGTCATAACTGCTGTCACTGCTGTAGTACTTCTGTCTTTTCATTATCTCTGTACTCTCAGGCATAGAACACAGAGGCTAAAACAGAGGGAAATGTGTTATTTTGTTATAATTCAAGAAAAAGCCTTATTAACATGATTAGTTACTAATTTTAATTTCCCCCTCAAGCTTGCTGTTTTTCAATGAAGGCTGAGAATCCCCCCAAGGTACTATTTCTACAGTGCTGCTTAGCCTACAGTGCTATTTATTAATTGTTCTCTTTCTGCAAAATATTCTTTCTTAAATGATATATATAGCTCAGTCGTGGGGAGGAAAATGTTGTTTCTACATGATTGGAATAAAGGGCCAGAGTATGCATAAACAAACAAAATAAATAAATAAAGGGAAAATATTTGAGATAAATATATGAAAATCAGAAACACAATCAGCTTTTCTTCATTCCATATAGAGAGTTTACTCATCAAGACTCAGAGATATACCTTTGTTATATCATTAACACTCACAGTCACTCAATAAATGTGTGTGTATGTGTACGTGCATGTGGGGGCGGGGGGGTGAAGAGAGACAGAGAGAAAGACAGGGACAGGGGGGAGGAGGAGGGGCAAGAGGGACAATGAAAATATGAAAGCAGCAGCCAGAGAAGCCACTATTAAGTAAGGTCACATCTTAAAACACAGCCTGTGAGCCTATCCACTAAGATAAAGTGCCATAGAAGTAATGTATAAATGCTGTGGATATTTATAAAAATAAAAATTGTTAGTTAATTAACCACTGTCCAAATTTGTTATGAACACCTCGTCTTTTTTCCTACCTCTGACACACAGATTCTGGACTTAAGGAAGTAACATTGTTTTTCATTGTCCATGCTACATTCTTTTTAATGATATAATGTGAAAATCAGTATGATACGAATTTTTCTAGAGGACAGGTGCCATGTACAGGAGTAAATCTGTAAGGATTCAAAATGCCATGCTACAATGCTCTAATATCTCTACTGGAATTGCTTGTTTCCAGTGATGCCCACTGAAGGAATAAAAGAGAAGAGACTTAGGACAGATTCACTTCAGAAAGAATGTACATAAGCACAAATAAGGTAGTTGTGTAACTCAGTCATTTTAACGGACTATTTATTACACACACGTTATGCCTCCTATTCCTGCCAGGAGAGGTTCCTGCAGTTGTGTACTAGTTGCTTGATCTCCATTAAATCAAACAAAAATGTTTTGATGTTAGCATATACCATAATGAAACTCTTGGATAGCATGGGATTTCACTGAAAGCAAGCGCATTCTCTAGAGTGACAGTGCAGGATGAAAGATAAAGAGAGAAATAGCATTTCATGGAGTGCCTGGAATACATAGTAAGCCAAAGCATGATCTTCTAAAATTTACAGCCTTTGTAAAGGATTAAAAATAAATAAAGCAAGAAAATAGTCAAATACACTAAAGTAACAACTTGTATTTAAAAGTATGTTCCCCTTTTGAAGGCCTAATATTTACTGAGCACTAACAATGTTCAAAGAGATACACAAAAAAACATTTACCAGTAACACAATCATCAAACATTCTGACAGTCTTGGGGAATATGAATTCTAGAGTAAGGATGTTTCTTCAGAAGTTTAGCATACCCAGAAGAAACAGTGGCACAATCAGGCTTGCTAGTAGTGCCTTCCTTCATGTAGCAAACAGCTTTAAGGTTTCTTAAGGAGCTTGACTACATAATGAGTTATTCGACCCTATAAAGAATCACAGGGGAAATGGATAGCTGAACCTTTGCATCATATATGCATTTGGGACTTTTTGACCAATACACTGTTCAAACAATAATTAATTAGAAGTCACAGCAGCATAAATTCTAAACAGTGCCTTAACTACAAAACAGAATTTGTAAACTGGCACTGAGTTATGACACAAACCATACTACTTATTTTTATGTCCAATTTTATTATAAAACAGGACATGTATAAAATATATATAAAAGTATGAAGAATAATAAAACAAATGCCCCCATACCTACCACCCAGCTTAAGAAAAAGAACATTGCTAATACTTTATGGGGTATTTATTACTTATGTAGCTAATTAATATTTCTTAGATTTTGAAATAAGTGGAAAGTTATCATTTCTTCTTGTACAAGTTTTACTTAACCTTGATTATTTCCAATTATTCTTCTACCAAAAAAGACACTGGAAATCAATGTTTGGCATGTGATATAATTCCTTTAAACAAGATGGTGCTTTAAGTTTGGCTCAATTTAGATTTAAAAGTTATAAAAATGCTTCTACTTAAGACTGATTATGCAGCTTTCAACCACACTGAAATATCACTGGCTTTAACAACTACAGCAACTATCCTGTTCATTTCATTTCAACAAATACATTGTTAGTTTCCGCTACTTGCCTAGAATGACAGGGTTTGAAAAAATATATACAATGTGAATTCTGCCCTCCAAAAGGTTATAGTTTTGTTTGGATGACAAGCCTTACATAAATGAAACGAAGGAAAATATAAGGCAGTATAAGGCTGTCTCAGGGCTTTTGCATTTGCCATTCTGCCAGGAACATTGTGCCCCTAGGTTATCTCACATCTGGTTTGCTAAATTGCAATAATTAATATACAAAGCTTAGAAACTTCCAAATGTTTCCTAAAGTGAAGCCATAACTCATAAAGGTATTTACTTTTACAGATACTCTAAAATACATTTATTACAAAGGAACCTTCAATTTACATATTCCACAACACCTCAACATAGAGCACATAATTCAAAAGTGTCTGACATCCACGATCTCCACCAGATATGTATAGCTATCAACAGGTTCATCTTGCACCGTTCACCCTCCAAGAACCTTCTACTTGAGTCACACCAAACTTTTCATTGTTTCTATAACACCATATGCTGGGTCACCCTCCACTACTTTGCCTTTAATGTGCCCTCCACCCTGAAAGGCCTTCCACCCCTCTCAAATATTTAGAATACTACTCATTTTTCAAGAACCAGTTCAAATGGCACTGCCTAAGAAGCCATCTGCATTCTCCCAAGCCCTTTCTTCTCCATGCTGCTGTCACGCTTCACACTCCCTTTATTATAGTACTTGCCACCTCAAACCCTGGTTTGTTTGTTTGTTTTTTTTTCCTTTTTTGTCTTTTTTCGTGTCTGGCAACGGACCGCAACCCTCAGTGTCGCGCCCGCACCGGACTGGGACCGGCAACGGGACCGCAACCCTCGGTGCCGCACCCGCCCCTCGCTCAGCCAGTGAGCGGGAACCGGTCTGTATGTGGGATCCGAACCCTCGGCGGGAGCGCCGCTGCGCCCCCAAGCCGCCCCCCCGAACCGGGGCCCCCCCGGGCCCCCCCCAACCCCGGGCTTTT